AATAATACTATAATACTATAAAAAGATCACATCAATTTTAATTTGTCCATATATCCTCTGATGATAATGGAAAGGAGATAACATACTCATTTTACTTTACTTTACTTTCTCCATCAAGTGACTGTGTCACCATAATGCAAGAGAGAAGATACAGGAAAGTAATGTGATTCTAAGTGGTAACCTCAGGAAGATCACTCCCTTCCTGGATTCCTGCGGGGAGAAGCTCTCTATTTCAACAGGCATCTAAAAGGAGGTAATATCCAAAGAGTAGCCATATCATCCATTTTATTCACCGAGTCTAATAGTACTGAGTCATGGATAGGTGCACAGTAAATGAATGAATTAGTGTTCTTATAATTTGAATAAATTATGTATATTTTGACTAAAACAAAATACTCCACTTTGAAAACTTTAGCAATAGTCCTATTGCTCAGTGTGATTTTTTTGGTCTCTTACTTAAAACTTCAGGGTTATAACAGGCAATTTAATACAGGTCCATAACACTGACATTATATCATCAGAGATAACTGATGAGCATTCTGAACTCATACATGTTTATATTACTTTAAAGTATTAAAGTCTGTTTCTTATTTATATTTCTAAAGTAGTATTTGGAATAAAGATGTCTCCCCACCCCCATTCAGATAACACAGACCAATCTCAGGAATATAATTAAAACTGCCTTGATTTTACTCTGACTTCAACTGTTCAGAACAAAGAGAATATATTTATTTGTTTTAAAGACTAATCAAACAGGTAAGTTTTCCTTCTAAAATACGTAAGATTGTATTTTCTGTTCATGGGTCCATCACTTAGCCAATTTGTCAATGCTACATTTAGAACTTCATTTACTGAAAGCTCTGGGGATGAAAACGGTTAGGTAAGATGGTAGTTATGTACCTCTAATACAAATTGAAAATGTAACACTACTAGTTCATCCACGGAATCATGCTCCTAAAAATGTCCTATCACCTTGAATTAATATTTAGGCAACCAAACACTTTTAAAAGATATGCTGAGTATCTTAAATTAAGTGTGTCAGTTAATTAATTCTGTGCTTCCCTTCTACCAGCCAAGTGTTGTGCAATCTGTTATTATTCACTGTCCTATAGATCATCTGTTCTTAGTGCTGGTTTGTTCCAGGAAGAGAGACAGCTGCAACACTATATCCCTGTTCAACCTGAGGACCATCTGACTTTAATTGTAACACACAGCTTGATGTGGCTCTGGCTATGAGAAGCCAAAGTATCGTCTGTAATAATCTGGAAAAGCAGAAACCTGCCAACAGAGGGCTGAAAACAGGGACTTGTGCTGTCTGGCTGCCTGACGGGCTGCAGGAAATATGATTAATGAGTAAGGTATAATGATATCAGGAACCCGATTAGCACCACAAAAAGGTCACAGATCAAAGTAGTATGCATTTCATGAGCTACAATCATTGCATAAAATCTGTGGAACTGAAGAGGGAAAGCAAAAAGAGGAGGGAGATAAAACCCTTATGTGATAACATGCTAACAGATACATAAAACAACAATTTAGTCACTGATAGAAAGTTAATAGGAAATTATAAAATGCATCAATATGAACTGTACTGTGGGAAAGCTTTGTTCATCATAAGTGAATAACAAATATTTTTGAATGACTAAATTCTTTCATGAAGACACACACATATATAAAATTGATACCTTTCCTAATTGTGAATGCAAATGATCAGAGATATAAATATACAATTCCAAACTACAAATGCATTTGATTTGCAGTGAATTTAATCAGTTCTGTTTCAGAATGCAAGGTAATTTGGAACCTAAAGTATAAAGGCATCTATGAAACTTCCTGGAATAAAAATCTCTGGCAAAATTAGGTAAATAAACAATAATGAGTGACAATAAACAGGTAGTTCATTTCATAGAATACTATTTTGTACATAATTTCAAAGTCATGTCTGAGTTTAGAGCATGGGTAGCCAAAACCCAAATCTGATTGGAAAACAATTGGGTAAGCTGCACTTGTTTCCTTGGTACCTCGAGAAACCTGTTTCAAAAAGACCTAGTTTTTCCGAGTTGAGGGCAGTGGAGCAGAGGAGGGTGATACTGTAAGGAAAGTGGCTTACCTCAATTTACACAATTAAATTTTAATTGTCAAAAGGTCCATGAAAATTTTTAAATGTAACTCATTCAAATGTTTCTGCTTTTCAGATTTTTTTAAGTGAAGCAAACACACCACCAAATCTTGTTGTACTTTTTATAATACTAATCATGGTAATGATTAATAGAGTTAGTTCTCTTGAGACTTAAACTTTCATTTTATTTAATTTTTTTTAGATGTGCTGGAGATCAAAACCAGGGCTTCATGCATGTTATGCTAGCTTCCAATCACTGAGCTACATCCCCAGTCTGAGACCTAGAATTTTAAACTGTATTTTAATAATAAGACAATCAGTATGTTTTTTTAAATATTCTTAAGAATGGGGAGGATACTTTCTTTTTTCATACATTATTATGTAAACATTATTTTATGTCTAATATATATATTTTTGCCATGATAGGGACTGAACCCAGGGCTGCATGAATATTAGGTTAGTGCTCTACCACTGAGCTACATCTCTGGTCCCCTAAGACTTTTTTTTTTTTTTTTTTAATGCTGATTCAAAAGACACCATTAAAAAATGAAAAGATAAGCCATAAACTAGTAGAAAAATATTTGCAAAACCTATTTTGGATAGAGGACTATGATGGAGAATATATAAAGATCTCTTATAATTTAATAATAAAAGGAAACAGTCCAATTTAAAAACAGGCAAGAGATCTGAACAGATAATTTACCAAAGAACATATATGACTCGAAAATAAGCCTATAAAAAAGACCAATATTATTAGTCATTAGAGTTGTATAAATAAAATAACAATGAGCTAGCTTTAGAATGACTAAAATAAATAAGGCTAAAAATACGAAGTCTTGGGAAGGAATTTGGAAAACCTAGACCTTCGTACATTGTTGGTGGGAATACAAAATCGTATACAAAGTGAACATATTCTTATCATGTAACTTAGGAATTTCACTCCACCAGAAATAAAAACAGATACTGATGCTAAGATTTATATGCAAATACTCACAATACCCCACATTAAAAAAAAAAAGTACATTAATGGTAAAAAGAGAAACAAAATGTGATATATCTATGAGGTTCAAAATGTGGTACAATGAAGTACCATGCAGCAATAGAAGGAAAGGAACTGCTGCTTTATGAACTAAGGTGGATGAATCTCAAAAACATTGTGATAAGAGAAACAAGCCAGGCACAAAAGGGCATGTTGTATGATACAATTAATATAAAATTCCTAGAAAAGCAAAGCAAAACTATAGAGAAAATCAATGGTTACCTGGGCTAGGAGAGGGAGCAGAGGCTGACTACAAAGTAGCACAACAAAACTTGTGGTCTGAGTATTCTAAAGCTGGATAGTAGTGATGGATACACAACTGCAGGAATGTATTAAATTGGAATAAATAATACCTTTTAAAAGTTGAGTTTTATGGCATGAAAATTATATCTCAATAAATCTATTTTACCATGTATGTATGTCAAAAGATACTCTACTGTCATGTATATCTAAAAATAACAACAATAAATCTATTTTATAAGAACAACCACTAGGGGCTAGGGCTATAGTTCAGTGGCAGAGCGCTTGCCTAGCACATGTGAGGCACTGGGTTGGATCCTCAGCACCACCTAAAAATGATCAAATACAATAAAGGCACGCTTCCTATATATAACTACAATTTTTTTTTCTAAAGAGAGAACAACTACTAAAAGAAAAAAAGGTCATAATATAAATACATCTTCTTTTCACTTGTGTATGCCTCTGGGAGAGGCACACAACCATAGGCAACCGTCACATTTAAAAGTTTGGTATATCCTTCTAAATCTTTCAGAGTTAAATGCTGTCTTGGGTTCTCAATTAATTATAATAACTTAGAATCTTCCAAAATGTTTATGATAAAAGGAAAATGCTATGTGCCTCATAATAGGATAAACAGATACTATCCAACCAATATCAAAAAACATCTTACTGGTGTATACACAATAATATTATATACTATTTTATGAGCATCTACTATATACCATAGAATGTTCTAGGTACATACAAAATTACAATCTTATAATTTTGAAATTACAAATGAGGAAATTATGGCTGAGGTGAAACTGCCCAGAGTACCATAATAAAAAATATAATTCATAACTGGGAAATCCGGCCTAACTACAAAGCCTATTTTCTTTCCACACCCCCCCCCTGCATTGCTTCCAATATGTATAAAATGTGAAATTTCAATAATAATGGGATTATAATTAAGATATGGAAGGTAAAAATGAAATTGTTGGTATAAAAGGTAAGGAATGCCACCTAGAAAGCCAAAATACAATAATTTCTTTCCTTGATTATAAATTAAAAGTCATCATACTTCCTCATAAACAATACAGAATCCATATAACACAGGAAATTACAAAGGACACTAAAGAGGTATAACAACACTGAGTACAATGCTTTTAAGTTTTTAAGTTTCCATATTCTAAGTATAATGTGAAGATTTCCTTCAACACGTAGATACAGAATATAATTTGAAAATGTTGTTTCTGTCACCAAAATGTTCAATAGCCTTCCAACTGGCACACAAAATTTCGTGGCTTTCTTGGTAAGAAAAATCCATATTTGAAAAAGCCAATAATTCTAGTTTCACTTATAACTTTAACTTATAATTTTAAACTGTCATATGTAAATGAAAGTAACCTAACTCTGCATAAAGGAATTAAAAAAACCACCATACCTTTCAATGCAACAAAATTTTATAAATGTATATGGCGGTTAGTGAACTTCTATGCCATTTTCAGTTATCCCTATCAACTACAGCTTTGTACAGAAGAGCAAAGGTTAATGATTATTCACCAACACCTGAGAGATGCTTTGAGAATAGGCTCATGACAGAGTAGATGATTACTATCTTACCAATCTGTTTATGCGAACAAACTCTTCTGAGGTTTTGGCCCAAGGCGGAAGTTCGACATCAGACACTACTGTCCCATCATCCATCACTCCAAGATTATAATTATTGAAGTTGACAAACATCTCAGGGAGATAATAAAATTCAGGAATCAACTCCTATATAAAAAAAGACAATGTTATAAAATGTAGGATACTGACTAGATATTCATTTACTATTGTGCAGAAGAACAAAATAAATATAGATTTTTTTTCTTTTCATACAGACAGATCCTATCCAAGCAAATTTGAATAACATCTTCCTAGTTTATATCCATGTTATATGGCTTATAAACTCAAAAATTCTTAAATCCAATATATGAGTAATAACTGAAGTTTTATAAGCTATAAAGAGAGATTTCTATGCTGTAACATCAACCTAAACCAGGTTTTTAATAAAATACATAGAATTTTTGCCAGAAAATGCTACTACCTAAGTCTCCTCATCTACCAAAAAGATAATTTATTACATTTTTACCATGCTTTAAGTATACTTTCTTCAAATTTCAAAACATTCAAATTTAGTTTTAAAATACTGTGATAAAAAATGAAAATTTATAATTAGTTTAGAAAACCACCTACATAAGAAAGTGAATAAACTAAATATGAGACTTTAATAATGACATTTTAAATACACTTTAATAAGCAGAAAAATGCAGCTGGTTAGGCTTTTGTGTGCAATAAGCCTACATATAACTATTTCAGAGGCCCCGTAGATCAGACTTGAAATCCAGTCTTGACATGGGTCAGTGGCTCAGTGGTCTTTCAGATACCCCCTCAGGGCCAGCTATGGCAGGCCTGGCTTTCCAAATAGTTGAGTAAAATAGGGAGGTCATCAGATTTTGGACAAGGTCAGTATGAACTTGCCAGAGCAGAGAAAAAAGATCCAGCAGGAATTAAGCTATTATCACTTCCATCATCCACGTGAAATGTTGCTCGGCTTTGAATTGTACATCTTTTGTTTACTATCACAATAATCAACTAAGCAGAGCAGAAATGAGCTTGTCCTCCAAATGTCTGACATCCACATGATGATTAGATTTGAAAAACATTTAAACTGGATTTTAAAAAAGGAAAAATCTTGTTAAAAGCTTAACCATAAATGAAATTAGACAGTGCTCACAGAAAACCTTTAAGATTCTCATCTTTAAAAACAATGACTCAAAGTCTAATTGGCAAAAGGGAAAAATACTTTATGTTGTTTTATGCAGCAAAAAGCCATCACCAATTTGTAAAAGCTAACATTTACTGCATGGTATGAGTCAGGTGATAAAACGAACTCTTAACAAACCCTTCCACATTTATCCTCACAATGACTTTGCAAATCAAGGTACATCTCCACTCTAAAAATGAACTAATGCTCAAAAAACTAAGGTTCAAAAACTTACACAAGGTTGCATAATATATTGTAATTTTAGAACCTGGGTCAAGACTTCTCTAACTCTAAAGTCTCTGTACTTAAATCATCAAATAAGCTTGGTTTCTACTTGTATAGTACATATAACATTTAACATTTATATATAATATATATTCATATGTATTTTAGTTGTCAATGGATCTTTATTTTATTTATTTATGTGTGGTGCCTCACACCTGGTGGGCAAGCGCTCTACTGCTGATCTACAACCCCAGCCCGAGCATTTAACATTGTAAAAAGAGTTGTTAACATATATTCCAAGTGATTAAAAAAAAAAAAACTGAATGTAAACTTTAGTTTTTTCATGCAAAGGAAATAATTGGCTATTCTGAAAATAAGCCCATTACATATAATGTATATATAGTAATTATTTTATGAATAAAGTACAAAAAGGAATTTTTTAAAATATGCAATAATTATTATTTACCCTAATGAGAAGAAGATATAACTTTCTACTCTTAACTTGCTAATAAATTCAACAAATTTCAAATTTTGAGGGATTTTACAAAAATAACTTATTTTCACCCCATCATACTTGTGCTATTAAAGAGGAATGTTACTACTCAGATCTTATTCTACAATGAAAAATAAGAAATAGACTTTCCATGTTTATTCAAAATCAAAAGCAGCATTTGTTCTAATTAAATACTTATTCTTTCAATTTCAATAACACCTCCACCCTCTCCTGATCAGAAAATGAGGTCCTTCTTTTGTCTGTTGTATCCACCATGCTCCTGTGAAATAATCCTCTTGAGATTTAAAACAACAATTACAATAGCTAAATTTTAGGTGCTAGTTTTTTCCAAGTTTTAAAACCAGGAGTTTAGTTTTTTTCAACTGAAAATCAAGGACATATAGTAAATGTATCAAAATATACCAAAAAAAGGTATCCTTTACAGCAACCAATTAACAGAACATGCAGTTTGCACTTAGTGGAGCAAATCCCCCGGCACCACCAATTTTCCAATCTAAACTTGGACTGGGAGGGCTGCCCACCTCCAAAAGACCGTGTATCTTAGACAATGGTGATATGACTCATAAAAAGGTAGACTAAAGATGTGAGGATCAATTTTCAAGAATTTACATAACCTAAATTCTCATTCCAGTCTTGATTAATGAAGGTCTTTGCCCTTCAATCTAATGTCTATAGATGAATCTTCCACAACCCTAATATGAATAAGGGTTTCTTGTACACTTGAATTGGTGGAAATGAAATTATGTCTATTTCAGTAGTGATTAAGTTACCAATATATTAACTGATAATGTATTTTTAGAAGACTAAATGGTAGGAAGGCTTCAGTATAGGCAGAAAATACAAATAGAATATAAATGTTACCTTTTGTTAATGAATAAAACTTATTAGAAGTTCTTTTTAATTGATTATTTAAGTCATACATATATATATATATATATATGAAAGGTGATATAACACATTATTTCAGTAATCAATTATTTAGTTCTTCCTTTTTGTAGTGAACTATGATAGAGTTTGGAATACAGAAGGATGTTTTTCCTTCTATAGAATACAGATCTAGATTAATTAAAAAAAAACAGCAAAATGATACACTTATCAAGAGAAAATAAGTGGTAGAAACAAATAGTTCTAAAGAGAGTTTAAAAGAGAACATAATGTGTAAAAGTTGGGGTGGTCAGAGAACGTTCAGGGAAAGAAACACTATACATATTTCCCTACTACAGAACTCCTCAATCTGTAATTGTCTTGTTTTGTATCTCACTCTAAATTGAAGGCTCCATGAGTCTGAGGACTTGATGTACTTTGATCAACATTAAACTCTCAAGTCCAGCCATGGTGAATGACACACACTGGGCACTGAGTAAAAATACACTGAATAAATATGATGGAAAAACAAGATTCAAGCACTTTGATAAATAAACAAGAAAAACAAGAATATTCCTGACAAGGGAAATCCTTAAAAGAGAGAGATTGAAGTGTGCATATATTTTGTTTCTAATGATCAGTGAAGAACAATTCAATTGTTTTAGAGAGGAAACTAGGCATGCACAAAAGATAAAGTTGGAGGAGTACATAGGGTCAAGGTGTGGGCAGCCTTAAAGGATTGCCTGCAAAAGCCTTAGCCTTTTATTCTATAAAGAAAAAAAAATGTTTTCATATAGAACTTTAAAAACAAACATGAATTTAAAATAGTATAAACATTCCCCCCAAATTAAAAATTTTTCATAATATTATGAAGATTCTACATGTAGTATAAAGGACATCATCAAATAAGTATAATTAAATTAGTAAAGAAGGGAGTATATATACTAAAACATACTGCAATCTCATTATAAGAAAATACTGCATAAACAAATCTGCTGATGGGAATTGAATCTCCTTTGAATATTCAATAAACATGCTGAACTCAATTCAGAAACACCAATATGTTAACAAAAGAAATATGTATGTACACTTCCCAAGTTTTACCATAGATGACAGTGACATTCGTTCTTCAGCAGAATTCAATTTATTCCTAAAAGCATCTAAGAACCATTCCTTGATGTAATACCAAACATTCCAGTTCAAAATTATCTTCTTTGACAGATGAAATTTAGTAACGCAGTCAAAGATCATGTCTCTCTAATACTTTTAATGCACATTTACAAAGTGAAGTATGTTTTATATTCATCACAACAGAACTTTCAGCTCTGGATAAAAAACACATGTTCAGCAATTTTTAAAACATCAGTGGAAAATGATAAGTAAACAACATTGACAGAAGACAGATATATTCACAATTCACATTTTCTTCTGTCTTGCTGACAATAATTTTAATCTCTATTGGTTAATTAGGCAGCTGGGTCTTAGAGGCAGGCGACATGGTCAAAAATATAGTGTATCGTCTCCTAAAATAAAGATCTGAGGGGTTCAACCAGAGGGTATTCCACTGCTCAGGATAAGCCCATTGCTTTGATCACAAATTCCCAAGGCTTTCATGGCATAGTGACAAGGATTGGTTGTGACCACACATATGCTTTAGTTTTCTTCATTAAGGTATGATCCCCACTGATATGACAGGACTTTGCAGCCAGGCCCTGTGATTCTCCTGTTATTAGTTACCAATCCTATCCACCGAACTAAAATCATCACTTCAATGTATCTGGGCAAACATGCCAAATACTAATCTATTAACCTAAAGAAATAAGATAATTGAAACCAAATAGAAATAGGTGTTATTTCAGAGCAAAATTTTAATATTTTCCTCTCTATATAATATAAAATCCTGATAATTCAAATATAATAGAAAGGTAACTAACATATGTATGATAGCAAGTATACTTCTCTGGAAACAATGACGGTAAAAAGATGTGAAAGGAAAATTTTATATATAAAAGTAATACAATAATTCACCACTGGGGAAAAATGACACATTTTTATGAAGGTAAAATTTATAAATAATAGGGCTGGGGCTGGGGCTACGGCTCAGTGGTAGAGTGCCTGCCTCACACAAATGAGGAGGCACCAGAGTTCGATCCTTAGCACCACATAAAAATAAATAAAGATACTTTGTCAAAAAAATTACAAATAAGCTTTCTTAATGAAAAAAAAGAGTAGATGAACAGTATGTTATAAAAGATAATATTGTCCTGATATATTTTAACTTGTAAGTTCTTACTTTGTTAATCTACAAATAAAAAAAAAAATTTAAAAAATTGACTAGAGGTCAAGTACACTGAATTGCACTGA